TTATATCTCAATTTTAAAACTTAAAAAACAATAGGGGGGCCTGACTGGCTCAGTCAGTGGAGCATGTGACTCTTGATCTCAGGGTCGTGAGTTCAAGCCCCACGTTGGGTATAGAGATTACTTAAAAATGAAATCTTAAAAAAAAATTTAAAAACCATTAATAAATAAATGAGTAGTTGCACATGCAAGAACCCTATGAATTGTTAAAAATCAATGGTATTATTATTAATACTGTTATTAAAATCCAGTTCATTCTGACCTTCTCCCTTATTGCCAGTGGAGTAAAATCCAACATTAAAATGTATGAAGCAGGGGTACCTGGGTGGCTCAGCCAGTTAAGCATCTGACTTTGGCTCAGGTCATGGTCTCAGGGTCCTGGGATCGACCCATGTCAGGCACCATGCACACTGGTGAGTCTGCTTGTCCCTCTCCCTCTTCCCCTCCCACCACTCATTCTCTCTCTCTTTCTCATATAAATAAATGTGTGAAGCAGGGCGCCTGGGTGGGTCAGTCATTAGGCATTTGCCTTCGGCTCGGGTCATGATCCCAGGGTCCTGGGATTGAGTCCCGTGGCGGGCTCCCTGATCGGTGGGGAGTCTGCTTCTACCTCTGCCCCTTTCCCCTGCTCCAGCTCTCTCTCTCTCTCTTTCTCATACATAAATAAATAAAATTTTTAAAAAAATGTAAAGCCTAACACCTATATTTCTAGGTATTTGTTCTATCACAAATATAGCTATATTCCTCCATTACTTATCACTACCTTTAAAATTCTGAAAATATATTTTTTAAAGATTTTATTTATTTGAGAGAGAGAATGAGATAGAGAGAGCATGAGAGGGGGGAGGGTCAGAGGGAGAAGCAGACTCCCCGCTGAGCAGGGAGCCCGATGCGGGACTCGATCCCGGGACTCCAGGATCATGACCTGAGCCGAAGGCAGTCGCTTAACCAACTGAGCCACCCAGGTGCCCTGAAAATATTTTTTAAAAGTAAGATTTCTGCCCTCCACCCCCAGACCTACAGAATCAGAACCTGTATTTTTTAAAGCTCCCTGGGTGATTATGATGACTGGCAAGTTTCTAGCAGATGGGGAAAGAGGCCCAGATGTAGCAACAGTCAGACCCCGGGAATGAGAAGCCTGTGCCCAGAGCCCAGGTCTTACAGCTTCCACCCAGTGTTCTTTCCTACACACTGCCGCTTTCCCAAGCGACCCTCCGTAGAAGTTTCTCTCAGTTTCCTGCTCTTGGCTCTTGCTTACTTTTCACACAGGGAGAGGAATAAACTTTTTGTGAATCATTGAGACTTCATGGAAGTTTGAGGGGAAAGTTGAGAATCCTGCACAGATTTGTCCAGGATGACCAACCATTTGTCATGACTCATTCCAGGAAGGGCTTTGCTTGCCCTTGTGTTACCCATGAGGAAATAATCTGGGAAATGAAAGGACATTTCATCTATTCATTTAGCATTTATTAGGTGTCAAGCGTGTGCCAGGAATTGGGGTAGGCATTAGGGATAAAAAGATAAGACACCACTCCTGTTCTCAAGGTGCTATACAAAGAATACATGGAAAATATTTAACCTACTCAGAAAGTTTTATGAAATGATTTTTTTTCATAATTTATATGGTAGCAACACCTAATTTAACCTGAAGTCATTTGGTAGGAAAACCTGACCTGAACTGTCATAAGGCAATGAATTACAGCCTTATTCATCTTGCTTAGTGTGACTATTCATACACTTCACTGCAGAAATATTAACGTGTTTGATTTACAGCGTGCTGCCCCAGACGTCACTGCGGTTGTTACATAATATACAGTATCTGCACCAAATTATCTTTCTAAAATCGAAACAATTCTGAATTCTAAAATACATCTGGCCTAAGGGTTTTTACTCTCCCTGGGGCTTCTGATAAGAGATTGCCCACCTGTGTTTCTTTAAGTTCTTTTGGTCCAGGAGGAATTCCGGAGGTTGGAAGTTCATGGCCATGATGAAGCCAAAACTCCCCAAAAAGAGCCTCTGAATGACTGCTAAGATACAAATACACCACTAAGATACAAACGTAAGAGCACCAGTATTTTTATGTGGGTCAGTTAGGCTCTTTGAACTTCTCCTGTTGCGGAGCACTGGACCCAGCTTGCCTGGGGAACCTTCCAGAGCATCACAACATAATCTGGGATATGGTATGACCAGTTATGAAAATGGTGGCCGAAGGGGACAACCAGACTGCTTTGATCCACGGAGCCAGGACAGTCCCTGTTATGGTTGCTGGGTAGTGACCCTGAGCCTCTGTCCAGGAGTCAGCGCCTGAGTCACTCAGGGCCTGGCAGGAGCGAGCAATTCCCCAAGCAGGTGGGGGCAACCCAGCAATGGCAAATCCAGGGTGAGGACATGTAGAGTCCAGGCCAAGAGGTGGGCAGCAAGGTCCAAACCCTAGACAGGGGGTTCAGAGTTGGGCCCCAGTCCCAGAGAAAGGCACAGGAAGGAGCAAACAGTCAGTCTGAGAAGCTGTCAGGACAAGAGCTCAGTGGATGGAGATAGCACAGATGACCAGGTACCCGGCTGGGATGAAGGTAGGGACTGGGTCTCAGCAGCAAGGCTGCCTGGTTGCTGAGCTGCAGATAAGGATCTATGGCAACCTAAGTCTCTCCCTGCTAAGGTCTGGTTTGGCCTCTGAAATTGGGTATGGACCAGAATCTAAAAATGTTCCTTCTGCAGGCAGAGCATAGCACCGAGGTCTGAAAGTCCACAGGGAAGAGGTATAAGGAATCCCTCCAGGCCTAGAAACCACAGTGACTTGGGTTGGTCCCTGTGCAGTAAAGTATTAACCTTGCCCAAGGAAAGACTTGGTCCTTGCCCAGCTCCTGGGAAGTAACCTCTCAGGCCTTGGAATATTCTACCTGACAAGAGTGTCTTTGTTTACCGGGGTGCTGTGGGTCATACCAGATAGTCTATGCTAATAATGTGATATATGCTGGAGGCCTTGGGCCAAACAGCATCAACTTGACCTCCGGAAGGGCTGAACACCAAGGTCAGACCTACCTACAGGACACCCAGGCCTTGGGTGAGCTTCCCTGGCTGGAAGTACTCTCTACGTGTTGCCACATAACGTTGCTGGGAGAAGTAAGTGCTGTCCCCATGTGTCTAGGGGGAGAGGACGGCTGGAAGTTTGCTCCTGGTCTCTCCTGGGTCCTGCCCTATGCAGCTATCTCCTCCGCAGATTTTAATCTGTTTCCTTCCACTGTGATAAACTGTAACCATGAGTACAACAGTTTTTCTGAGTTCTGTGAGTCCTTCTAGTAAATCACTGAACTTGCAGGTGGTCTTGAGGATCTCCAAAACTGCAGTCCTGGCTTCCTCCCTAAATCAGACTCTCAATCAAACTTGAAAGCCAAGGCCTTCTGTACCATTCTCACTCTTCCACGTGTCTCCCATCCCGAGTCTTCAGTGACCAGCTGGGTGTCCTCTGCAGATCAGTGTGTTGTCGCTGCCAGTCTCATTTCATCCCCAAGGTCGGGGCCCATGGAAGCCAGGACAGCTCCCTGAGCTTTCCACCGGCACCAGTCAGAGGACTCTTCTTCCATTCGTCACCCTTCCGTTCTGGCTTCTGGGCCACTTCCCTACCACAAGTCCAATCTGGGGACAAGAAATGTGTTTTGGATGTAACAGTTTATTAGCAATGACTTCATAAGATCCTATATACCCAACTTGCCTTGATCCCCACCCCGTGGGGAAGCTGTGTGGTCACAGTGAGATCTCCAACAACTCACTTCCCTTCTCCAGGCTTCACTTCCCTAGCTTTTGGGGGAGCAACTACTCATAACTTATAGTGTCTGTGAGTGCTTTACACACTGCAGGGTGATCTGCAAACACACAATGAAATGCTATTCAGCACTAAAAAGAAATGAGCTATCAAGCCATGAAAAGACACGAAGGAAACTTAAATGCATGTTACTAAGTGAAAGAGGCCAATCTGAAAAGGCTACATACTGTATGTTTCCAACTTTGGGACATTCTGGAAAAGGCAACTATGGAGATGGTAAAAAGATCCATGGTTGCCAGGTGGTGGGGTGGGGAGGGGTGGGATAAATTGGTGGACCACAGAGGATTTTTAGGACAGTGGAAACACTTTGTATGATACCATAATGATCGATACATGTCATTATACATTTGTTCAAATCTATACAGTGTACAACACCAGGAGTGGAACTGAAACATAAACTATAGACTTTGGGTGATAATGCTGTGTAGTTCATCAGCTATAACAAATGCACCCCTTTGGTGGGGATGGGGATGGTGGGGGAGGTTGTGCATGTGTGAGGCTGAGGGGATATGCGAAATCTCTGTACCTTCCGCTCCGTTTTGGATTTAAAACTTCTCTAAAAAATTAGTCTTAAGAAAAAAATAGAATGTAGAACAAAGGAACATATTCGTTCATGCTTTTATGAATTCCTGCCCCTAATTCTTTATAAGCATATTTTTAATTGGCTGTAACATAGAGAATTGTTCTTTCCCCTCCACATTAAACATAACACTCTTCTCTCCTGTTCAACAAGGCAAGTCAGCCTTGACCATAAGGTTCCACTTTCACTGTGATCCCTGCCCTTCCCCCATCGTTCTAGGGGCTTTCCTGCCCCCTTGTCCCCTTCTGTGGTTGCCCCAGCTGACCCCTGCGTGAAACAGACACAGCATTCTCATTGATGGAGGGTTTTCCCAGAAAGACCACAGACCAGGTGGTGAGATAGCCCATGCAGTGACTCTAGCAGGTGCCCCAGCCTGATCCCCTCTGCCCCCAACATCTCTAATGAGCTGGAAAACAGAGGGAAATTAACTTCATCAGTATGCAAATGGCACTCCCAGGATCAGGGTCTGTCTTTATTCCTTCACAAGACATCCTCAATCCCTCCTGCATTTGTTCCCTCATCTTGTTCCCCACCCAGCAGAAGAGAGACCAGAAGGATGAAAAAGATTTTGTACCTACTACCCTAAGGTCATAGTAGAGCGACCATATCCCCACACCAGCCCACCTTTAAGAAAAGAAGCAGTTCATAAAAAGCTGAAAACCTAAAATTTTAGCTGAAATAGTCATCAACTTTTGCTTTCTACTTTAAAACAAATCTGCATTTGCTTGAAGGCATCTAGTTTTATTTAAAGGCACAGGCTCTGGAACCATAGCACATGGGTTTGGATCTGGCTTTCCAATTTGCCAGCTGGGAGACCTTGGACAAGGCACTTTATCTCCATTTTCAACCTTCGTTCCCTCATAGCCTTGGTGTAGTGATTCAATGTGTTTAATACGTATCAGATTTCTGGGGTGCCTGGTAGCTCAGTCCATTAAGCATCCAATTCTTGATCTCAGCTCAGGTCTTGGTCTCAGGGTGGTGAGTTCAAGCCCTACGTTGGGCTCCACACTGGGAGTGGAGCTTCCTTAAAAAAAAACAGATAACAAGTTCTTAGGCTGGGGACAGGTACCTAGTAAGCATGACCTGTGTTAGCTATTATTACTTTAACATGAAAATGTATAGAATTACTTAATAGCTAGATTACTAAACTTCCCCCATCCCATCTCTGTCCCCATCAGATGGGAGCAAAAGAACTATGATCCCTGGAGATATACCATGTTCTAGAACCCTTCATACAATACTGATGACCCCATGTTATAAAGCATGGAGCTAGAGAAAAGTTGACCCCAGAGCAAAAATCCCAGTATCTACGTATTTCTTGCCAACTGGCCCCATTTCCTCCCACACCAAGGCTAAAACCCTTTTGCCTGGCACCAAAGCCCAGACCAACCTTGCCTAACTACGGGTTTCCATCACGGTTTCTTACTGCTCCTGAACATCCTAAGGGTAATCATGCCTTGACTAATCATGAAAGGAGCCTTCCCCAAAACTGATATTTTTGAAACATTATTCCTATACCCTAGGGCAATGCACCATAGTAAAATGGAGATTTTCTTTTCTTTTGTAAGGTGAGAAGAGGACTATTTTGAATGTAGGCCCCTTCTCAGACAATTTTAAGAAAGTGCAAATGTGGAATTTGAGGACCTAGAGACCAGTTCCCTTAAAACTACTCTTGTGCACATACTTCTTGAAAAGTCTTCTGCTACCTACAAGGATAGATATGCCCCATTTTGAAGACTGCTATTCCAGAGTACAGGGCCTGAATGCACTAGGCACTCAGTACATTTAAATTTACGTGTCGTGAAGAAGAAACAACAGAATCAAAAGCACAGAGACAAGAAACCCAGGGCAGGTTTGAGGAACAGAAGGCAGTCTGCTCTGGCTGAAGTCACGGGTGTAAGTAGGGAGAATCTTAGGAAGCAAGGCTGGGAGGGAAGGTTGGGGGCAGAGCGCTAGGGCCTTGAATGCCACACTTGAGTGTTTGGGCTTTAGCTTCGTTTTATAGTCACTGAAGAGGCTTAAAGTAGAAGCAGCAGCTGTGGGATGACAACAAGAATACTTTCTTGGGAATCAGAAGTCTTGGGTTCATTTTGCCTTGGTCACTGTGGGACATCAGGGCTGTCCCTCTGAGGCTTCATGTCTTTGGTCAAGTTCCCTAGAAGCAGAGCCTGAGACAGGAATGCAGATGCATATGGCGGAGGGAGGGAGGGAGGGCCTTCAGAGAAGGGGAATGTGGGAAGCATGCTGAAGAGGAGGCTGCCAAACCAGGCTGTGTCTCAGGTGAAGACTTGGCCTCATCCACCGATGCTCTGGATGTGACTCACATGACAGTAGTCACATGACAGTAGGCCCCGAGCAAGGGGCCAGGCCTTGGACACTGCAGGCACTATCGGCCACTGTAACCTGCAGACATCTCAGGGAGAGGTGCTCCCTTCAGCCAGAGCTGGCCTCCAGAGGACACAGGCATCAGCCATCGTCATTCCTGTCCCACTCACGGCGGCGGGGGTGGGAGTGCCAGCCACTGAGGTGGGTATGCACAGTTAGTGCCAATATCTACCACATCTGGCTGCCTCTTCTATAACACAGGCATAACACACTGACCTCACTGAGGGTGCTGTGGGAGCCAGGACATAGAAATTCTAAGCTGGGGGTCTATGATCTTGAGGTTATTTACATCTATGGTATTGATAGCGTGGAGATACTCTATCACGGGGAGCTTCGGCACAGCTTTTCCCAACTCCGTGCTCAATGACCTCCTCATGCTGCTACCTTGAAATCGACCGTGGTGGGAGAATTTACACCACAGAAACTGGAAAACGCTACTAATCAGGGCTTCTCTTTTTTTCTCAGTGAACCAATATTAAACATTTACCGATACATCACTGCTGCAGACCAATTCATTCCCCCCAACACACAAAAATATGCACACAGTGGTCAAATGCCTGTTTAAGAGAAGGTTCTCTCTGGCTAAGGAGAGGGGTGGTGTTTGTTCTTGTATTTTTTTTTTAAGATTTTATTTATTTATTTATTTAGAGAGAGATAGAGCATGCACACAAGCAGGGGGACGGGCAGAGGGAGAGGGAGACAGAGAATCTCCAGCAGACTCCCCGCCTAGCGTGGAGCCTGACCAGGGCTCCATCCCAAGAGCCTGAGATTATGACCTGAGCCAAAATCAACAGTCAGACACTTAGGTGCCCCATGGATTTTTTTTTTTTTTTTTTAGATTTTATTTTTAAGTAATTTCTACACCCAACATGGGGCTCAAACCTACAACCCTGAGATCAAGAGTCACATACTCCACTAACTGAGCAGCCAGGCGCCCTGTTTGTTCTTGGAATTTTTAAAGCTTGGTGTTAGTGAGGGAGGAAACTGTGGGGCAGGGGGGGTGGGGGGGGTGGGGGTGTTCTCCTCTACCAAACACACGCCTTTGCAGGTAGGATCTACCTGGTCATGGTACTTGGTCCCTATGAAGCAAAAAGAGCTCATGGCCCATGAAAACTTCTCAGGTGCTTGGAATAATGTTAAATTATGGCCATTTACCAATTCCTTTAAAATGCACTCTTGTGTCTAAAAGCGTGTGGTCCCCCCTTATTTAAGCCCCAGCCTCAAAGACGGAGTGAATGATAGGACTCTTTCCGAGCCAGGAACTCCCTAGTGGGAAGATAGCATTTTCCCCGGATCCTAACACGTAAGAACTTGAAGAAGTTAATCCATTTGGAGCCCTGAGAGGGAGTAAGATTTCATTATTAAGGTTATTGTATTTACAAAGCCATTGTTATTTGATAGACAAATTCTTTGTCGTAAATGAACCCTTAGAAGACCCTTAACGGGAAGCCTGCACAAATGTTTATGAAATTGTGACAAGTCTTGTGTTGAGAAGCACACGCTGTCCCATCTGCCCAGTCAGATCCACCCCCCTGGGGCCACCCACCCGGAGGAGGTGGGAGGCAGGAGGCCACCCATCTTGGGCCTGGCTGAGCACTGAGCTCAGGTGTAAAGCTTACAGACAGGAAATGCGGATGCTTATTTAAAACATCCTCCTGCTCACCTCCCGGGGGTTCTGTGCTAATAAATTGGCATTAATAAGATAAACTAATTGGGGGTGGCCTGGCTCACAGGCCAGGCTCTCAGCTGCTACCTCCTGGCTCCCAGTGCTGGCAGCCAGCAGGAATCGTGCCGGGGGTGAGGGGCGGGGTAGGGGATGGGGAAGAAACAGAGGAGCCCGGGATCTGGAACACAAGACCCCTGGTTTGCTGCAAACCACAGGTGATGTGTTCTCTGCTTTTCCCCAGCCCGCTGATTTGGGTCCGGTGCAGAAGGAAGCACTCTTGACCATTTGGATGTATAGTCCCCTTGGCAGAGTAACATCATAGCCCATAGGAGATGGACAGGATGGAGAGACACAGAAACCACATTTTCCTGATAGAAAACTGAGACACACGGTCACCGGATATTTATACATTTGCTGTGTACAGAGGCAGCATCCGAAAGATAGTTTGGAGGTTGAAATGTTGCAATGGATGGGACATTGCAATGGTTTATGGAAAACAATAGGGAAGACCATTGTAAATCTTACCTTACCCAGAAAATCAGTGGCTCCATGTTAGAGATCTTCTGTCGTTGCTACATGAGGACAAATATTTTCTTTGGCTATGTTTTGATACCTGGCATGATTATTTCTGGCTGCTATGTTTATTTCTCTAAGAAATAATTCCAGCAAAGTAATGTCCATTTCAAATATAAGTAGGGAAACACATTAGTTTTCAGGCTGTAAGGACAACCAGACTTCTTTATATTTTTTTCCTTTGGTCTGTTCAATTTTTATATATTTGACAATACCTAATGGCAATCCGCTTACTTCATTTAGCCCATATTTATTCAAGGGGGCATTCTTTATAGTGTACTTCTAGATGGTCTCATGCCTGTCTTAGATTACAAATGTCTGTGTAATTCTTTGACCAGCAAGGAGCACAGCACTGCATGTAGGGAGGTACTTCGAATGACCCACTCTGAACAATTTTTTTTTATCTTAATTTAAATTTAAATAGTCACATGTAGCTAGTGGCTGTCATCATTCCACACTACGATCTATGTTCACCACAGCTCTGCTTTACAGGATTCCCTGCTCTCAGGAAACTTCCAGTCTAACAGGGAAGACACACATATAAGGAAACACGGTGCGATGAGTGCAGGGAAGGAGCATTTATCGTGTGCACTGCTGCCCAGATGAGAGGCTGGGTCTGGCAGAAGGAGAGAGTTTTTCCCACAGGAATTGTGTTTAAGCTGGGTCTTAAAATAGTAGTACACCACAAAGTTAAAATGAGTGAGAAGGTTTAGGAAAAGAAGTTGTTTAATGTATCTTACCCATTTGATCGTGATGACACGGATGCCCTTGTGGTTAGCAGTGATGATCACTCTGAAGGCTACTCATACAAGTAGGTTTGCAAGACAACTGCAAAAGAGAAAGCTCCTTTAATTTTTTTTAAAGTTTTATTTAATTAAGGAATCTCTACACCCCATGTGAGGTTCGAACTCACGACCCTGAGATCAAGAGTTGCATGCTCTTCCAACTGAGCCAGCCAGGTGCCCCATTTTTAAATATTATTTTTTTTTTTTTAGTTTTAAGAAAAAGCTCCTTTGACAAGGGTTTTCTAAATGCCAGGATTTCCTAGCTGGGGAGGGACTGTGTTCATTCTCCTGTTTGGGGACAGGAGCAGAAAGCAACCTGCCTGGAAGATCAGTCCTTAAAGGCCCCTGGAAAACCAAGGTTTCATACATTTAGAGAGAGAAAGAGTCTGAAGCTGAGCTTGTCTTCTTGCCAGCTGGCTGGTGGGAAGTCAGAGAGAGAGAAATGTCCGCTTTCCCTACTATTGCTGGTAAACAGGTGGAGGCCTTCCACTGCAGTAGAGAACAGCTCCAAAAAATCCTTCTCTAATACACTGATGCAGATGCAATTTGCCCCAAATGATCATTGCAGATAGTCTTAAAGGGGAAATGTGCCCTGTGTGACTCCACTCTGCCTCACTCGGAACAGGGACTGGGCTAGGACACGCCCCTAGACTCGGGGCTGGCTGCCTGCTCTTCCGGGACCTCTCCTCCTCTCCACCTGCCTCCTTGTTTACTGCCCAGTCTACTGGGAATGGAATGTCACCTGCCTAGGGTAGAAGACTAATTCCATGTACTGGGGGAGGGCCCTGCATCTGGGAGCCAACAGCTTGGTGATCAGAAGCTCAGTTCTGCCCTCAGCAGTACTGGGCAGGAGGCTAATCCAAAGGAGATTTTATTTTTTATTTTTACATTCCAAAGCAGGAAGTGGGGAAGCAGGTGGAAAGATGCTCTCTAGCCTAGAACGGGGTGGGGAGCAGAAAAGGCTAGGTACCTAAGCATGTGCCAGATGTGGGGGCAATAAAAGGGTTGGGGGAAGCATGGGGTCTCCATCCGTATGGCTGTTGAGGACCACCAGCACTGTGGGGTGGCCAAATGGGAGAAGGATCAAGGGCAGTCTCCTGGTTCCTTCCCTCCTTCCCTCAATTCTATATATAAATTGAACTGTGCTCTTCCCTCTTGGCCTATAGGGAGCAGGGAGGAGATGCTGAGGGAGAGACAAGAGGAGAGGCTTGTCTATCATGGCTTGTATCTTCTTGGAGGATCTATAAGAAACCGGGGCTCCCTGGATGCTTCTCCCATCAGCTTTCTCTGCACCTGCCTTCCTGCCCTCCTGCATTGTGAGGGACATAGATTACGGGAACTTTCTATTCCGGGAACTCCTTCTATTGTCCCTTTGAGCATGCTCCTCACCTTGCTTTCCTATGTTTTCATCCGCCCACCTTGCTGTCGCTGAGTGTGGCCATCACTCTGCTCTTGTTCTTCCTCATGGTGCCAGAACTTCTTCCCTACAGCACTCGTCCCCAGTGGGTCAGTGTAAGAGAGTGTGGTGAACTGGGAAGGGGGCACACTCTGGAGTCTCTGAGATCTTTGTGCAAATCCCAATTCCACCCTTTACCATCTTTAAAGTTAGCAGCAGCCCCCAAGACCACCCTCACTTCTGACATCACTTGCAAGCTTGGGCATTCCCAAGACCACCGTCGGGTTCTATAAGGTGCTAGTAGAACATCCAGAACTCACCGGAAGCTAGAACACCCAGTTATGTTTTATTACAGTGAAAGGATACAGATTAAAGTCAGCCCAGAGAAGAGGCACATGAGGCAGAGTTCAGGAGAGCTCCACATGCAGAGCTTCTAGCTGTCCTCTCCCCATGGAGACCTGGAGATAGCACTACGTTCCAGGTACGTGTTGCCAACCAGGGAAGTTCACCCAAGCCTTAGTGTCCAGAGTCTTTACTGAGGTTCAGTCATGTAGACATGGCTAACCACCCGTGTAGCTAACCTTTGTTTCTAGCCTCTCTGGAGGTTGAGCTGATACGTGCCCGAAGCACCCACCATAAATCACGGTGTATGCATAGACTACCTAGCGTGGCCTCAGGCCCCCAGGTAAAGACACTTTTATCAGGCAGGACATCCCATGGGTTCAGAGATGACCTCCCAGAAGCCAAGGGCAAGGCTAGACCTCTCTTCGGGCCAGGTTAATCCTTGACCACATCTCATCTGTGTGATGTTGAGATCTTCCTAGCCTCACTGGGTCTCTCTTTCCTCATCAGCACACTGGAGGCAATGACCACCAAACTTCCTGGGTTTTTGTGACGACTAAGTGATATGACAGATGTAAAGGGCCTGGTATGTGAGAGGCTTTAATGAAAATTAGGTCCCTCCTGATATCCTCCAAGTGCTCAGTTCTCATCTAAACTGGCCCAGGGCATCACTCCCTCTCTCCTCTTCCCACCCCTTATACCAACTTACTTTCCCCCAGAAAAGGGTAATACCCTACATGTTGTTATTAAGCTGTTCTTCTTTTTAAAAAGATGTGTGTGCATTTTTTTTTAAGTGGCTCCATACCTCTTCATTGCACAAATTAACACAACATATCAGATCATTGCCCTCTGGATGGGCTACAGAGAACACCCCTATGCATACGCATCTTTGTGACTTGTGCTAGTGTTTCTACAGCCTGGATTCTTCGAGGTGGCACTGATGGGGTTAAGGGTCTATTCAAAGTCTTGATGGAACTGCCAAACTGTTCTCCCTAAAGCCTGTATGAAGTTAAGCCTCTACCCCAAATGCATGGAACAGCCAGTTTCCCCATACCTTCTGAGGGCCATGTGCAGGAGAGTGGCTTGGAGGGCATAACAGACACTGCCGAGGCCTAGCCCTGTCCCTCTGCTTCCACCATCCCTATGCATGCCCAGTGTCCTACTGCATCTGAGACTCAGTGCATGGGGCTTTCTCTTCACTTGAGCCTGGGGTTAGGCAGGGCTTTTGCCATTGATTGGGAGCAATGACATGCTAGGGGATATGAAAGTCATTGGTGACTTGCCATTTACCAGGAGACAGGACACAGTGAGTAGGGTTTCAGGTCTAGGGTCAACAGAGTCCATGCCCACTGGGGTTTCAGCCAGAACTCAAAATACAAACTCAGGGAAGAAAAGGAAGCAGGAAGGCCAGATGAATGTCTGGAAAGAAAAAAGCAACTACTGTCTGCCCTTGGCACCGAGAAGTTCTGTTCCTGACATACTAGCAGAACAGCCTGTACCTGAAGGCCTGCCTTCATCCCCGGTGTCCATCACCAGCAGATGGTGTCCCCTGATCAGGATGGGCCAGTGGCTGGGGACACTGAGGCCAAGGAAACCCCTGCCTCCTCCCCATCTGGGCATCTGGGGGCCTTACACTCCCATTAGGCCTGTACTTTACTTCTTTATGCTAAGGCCATGAGGTAGGAGCTCCAGTTCAGTTTGAACCAGCAAATCACTGCATGATTCCTCTCTGTGTCATCTTCTCTTTAGGACTCGGTTATCTCAGCTATTAAAAAAAAATTAAGGGGCGCCTGGGTGGCTCAGTTGGTTAAGCGACTGCCTTCGGCTCAGGTCATGATCCTGGAGTCCCTGGATCGAGTCCCGCATCGGGCTCCCTGCTCGGCAGGGAGCCTGCTTCTGCCTCTGACCCTCCCCCCTCTCATGTGCTCTCTCTCTCTCATTCTCTCTGTCTCAAATAAATAAATAAAAAAAAAAATTAAGGAAAGGAAGAGAATTAGTAGCTAACATTTGTGCAGAGCACTTGGTTTACAAAGTTTCTTATCTCCTTGGTCCTCACTTTATCCTCACTTTACAGATGAGAAAAGTAAGTCATAGAGGGATTAGGTGATCTGCCCATGTTCACCCTGCTGGTCAGCCAGGACTTTCCTGGAAAATCCTGTGTTTCTTCAACTTGCCCATACTGGAAGATTCTAACATTGTATATCTAAGATTTTTAGGGCCTGCCCTAAAATAGTGAAGTAGTTTTAAGTAGGAGCCTTCAGACACGTCTGGGTTTTGAACCATTAGTTGGGCAGGTTACTTGAGCTTTGGGTTTCTCCTGTTGAATAATTAATAAGGCAATATTTGTTAAGTGTTTATTATATGACAAACATTGTGCTACATGAATTATTTTGCTTATCCTCACAACAACTCTATGAGGTAATATAATTACCCCATTTTCCAGATGAAGAAACTGAGCCTGACGAGGTCAATAGCAGTGTCCTTCACATAGAGAAACCAATAGAGATTGGAACCTGTCAAAATGCTCCAGAGAGAATCTTCAAGGATATAAAACTGATAGACTCTCTGGCAGTTTTGAACATATGGATAGAGACAATTGATGGAAAATTTAGAGTTGAATTATAATTACCGTACATAAAACAAGGAAACAAAACATGATAATTACTAAGTCCAGAAAAAAACACAGTTTGCAGGAAATGAAAAAGTCAGTTGTGAATAGTATTTAAGTTGTCATAATAAATATTTCTTTTGATATAACCAATATCAAGATGTGACTAAATTGGGAGGTCGGGAGGGGGACAGGAAGGCTATGTGAGAGATGAAGGCAGGGCTGAAAGAGTGTCTTTTATAGGGTTTTCACTATTCATCAAGAGATAATGCCTAAACCAGAAGCAAGAAGTAGCAATTTAGCATGTTGTTTAGAGATAGGGAGGAAAAGAGCCAAAGAGGGCACCTGGGTGGCCCAGTTGGTTAAGCAACTGCCTTCGGCTCAGGTCATGATCCTGGAGTCCCAGGATCGAGTCCCACATCGGGCTCCCTGCTCAGCAGGGAGTCTGCTTCTCCCCCTGACCCTCCCCACTCTCATGCTCTCTCTATCTCATTCTCTCTCTCAAATAAATAAATAAAATCTTTAAAAAAAAAAAAGAGCCAAAGAAACAGCTCAGAAGAGTTGAAAGTGATGGCTTCTGGAGAGGGCAGAGCAGGAGGGAAATGTATTTCATAAGAAATCCCATAGAATGATTGACTCTGATTCAGCTATATGCTTGTATAGCTTGAATATTATTTCTTTAAAAGAAATAAAAGGAATATAAGTAAATTGCCCAAGTTGACCCAGATCTGACGTGGGGGAGGTGGGATTTGAACCCCAGCAGGCTGCCTCCGAGTTGATGCTACGGTCATTGCGCAATACAGCCTATAAAATACCTACGTCCTAGTGCTGTAAAAGGCAAGTGACTGATATATATAAGAAACCCAGCGGCTAAGGGGCAGTAAGTGGTTAGAAAAGAAAAATTAGGGCGCCTGGGTGGCTCAGTCGTTAAGCGTCTGCCTTCGGCTCAGGTCATGAGCCCAGGGTCCTGGGATCGAGCCCCACATTGGGCTCCCTGCTCAGCGGGAAGCCTGCTTCTCCCTCTCCCACCCCCCCTGCTTGTGTTCCTGGTCTCGCTATGTCTCTCTCTGTCAAATAAATAAAATCTTAAAAAAAAAAAAAAAGAAAGAAAAGAAAAGAGAAATTATTTTCTTTCTCCTGTTGAGCTAGCCACGTGGACACTTCTGGTAAGGAAGGGAGGGGTGTCCTGCCCTGGGTTCAGGCCTGAGGGGCCCTGGTGCTCTGAAGCACTTTTCTCTAAGTTCTCTAAGTGTCCCTCCAGTGCCTGGGGACAGTGTCATCTGGATGGGGCTCCCCAGTTTCCAGATTCTCCCCTTCAGAGAATTTTCCAACGCTGTACATTCCCTCCTGCCTCTCCCCAACGGCATTGGCCAGACACCCCCAGAAGCCCCAAGACTGGCTGCTACAGGGCCATCCCAGGGCCTGTGGTCAGAGGACTGTGTGAGGTCAGGCTGCCAGAATGATGCTGAGAAAAGATTTTGAGTGAGATCAGATTGTTCATATAGACGAGGGTCCTGCAGAAACTTTTGCCCAGGGTCCCGGACGCCCACCGGCAGCTATGCTCTCAGGCCCTGCCGTATGGACCTTCCTCTGTTTCCCATGACACAGTCCTTATCCAATAGCTCTGATTGCAGGTCTCAAAGCAGCCAACGGGAAGAGCGGAACATTTTGTCAGTTACCTGGAGGATTCTGTCCTCAACTTTTCACTGTTCAGTGGAGGAGGACACTGAGGAAGTGTCATGTCCTTGTGAGAGACAGTCACAGCGCCAGGAATAACACTGAGATCTCTGGCCTCCCAGTCACTGGATTTCTTCCACCCTATCTCAAGTTTGGGACGGGGCCTGGGCCCCCATAGGGCAGAACAAAATCTCCCGTTTTTAAAAGACCACGCTAAGCCCCAGCAGGAATCACAACTTTCTTACATCCCCAATCCGGGATCCAACAATTCTTGTCAACTAACGTCCCTGGAGAGCCTACCCCAAGCGAGCAAGCCTCCCTGGGAACACAAGCTCTCCGACACATTTCTGCCTCCAAGAAGTCAGTCTGATGGTGGAGGGGCATTTACAGGACAAAACCGGATACCGCGGGGGCTTCACGGACGCTCCTTTTCAATGCCCGTGGCTGGGTGAGGAGAGAAAGCAGGAGCTTGCGTCCCCCGCCCGCGGCGCAGGCCTCGCGAGCCGCTCCCCGACGCGCCGGGCGGAACGGCGCCCGGAGCATCTTCCCCCGCCCTCCTCCGTCCGGGTCCCCGCTCGGCGCGCGAAGGGAGGGGCGCGGGGGCGCGCACGCAGGGTGGCGGGGCGCGCCGGCCGCCCGGGGACGCGCACGGGCTCGTCTCTGCCCTAATGCGGCGGCTGGCGGCGAGAGGCGCTGCAGGGGACGTGGGAGAAGTGGCGGCGCCGGCGGCGGACAGCACCGACTGCGCCCAGGGCCGGAGCCCGCGCCCTCCGAGGTAGGCGAGCGCGGATACCGGAAGGGTGGGGGGTGCGGTAGAACGGGGGTCGTGGAGACGCATCTAGCGACACCCCCTTGTTCCCGCCCTCCTCTGCCCGTCTCCGTCCCCCGACCTGTCCCCACCCCCCTCGGACCATATCCCCGTCCCTTCTCGTCTTCACACCATCACCTGCCCAGAATCCATCCCCGTCCCTTCTCGTCTCCACACCATCACCTGCCCAGAATCCATCCCCAGTGGGATATCTGCACCCACCCCCATTCAGCTCCCACCCCCCTACCTACCCCAACACCCTTAATGTCTCATTGGCGGCCTCCCCTCCCCCTTCCTGCATCCTCGACCTCTTCCCCTTGCCTTCTGTCCCTGCCTCATCCACAGCCCTGCCCTTATACCTGTTTACCTCCACACCCCGCTTTGTATGACCCCATCTTTCCTACCCCTCCCGTCAGCCCCTCTCCTTGGCCTCCCCTGTCCTCATCCCGATCTCGTATCCCCATCACTCCGTGTGCCTGTCTCTCCATCTGCTCCCTCAGTTTCTGTCCTCCCCAGGTGCCCCTGCACACCCTGTCCTAGCCCCTTCCCAGCCGCCTCTTGGTTTCCTTCTGCACCGTAGTCCCTCTCAAGAACCCTATCTTCCTCTCCTGGGCTGTTAGCTGGCCTGCCACCCATCACCTTTCCCATTCGCCCTTCCTGGTGCTCTGTGTAGCCACACGGCTTGTCCTGAGCCCCCATCACCTGACACGGGGCCTTCCTTCCCTGCTTGGGGAGGCCTGGGGCTCTGAAGGCCCTATGTACCCGCAGTTGCGGGATCCACTTATAACCCCTTTCTGCATGTTTGATCCAGTTCACGGTTTGGGGGTGGAGGATGCTGCGGGCTAGTAGGCCTCTTATGTTCCTCCTCGGCCACCCTCTTCCCCTAGCTGTTCAGGTTTGTTTCCTAGATGGACTGGGGGAGGGAGTGCTAAGCATAGGGAAACTAGGTTGGGCAAGAGGCAGGGTCCAAGGGAATGGCTGAGAGCCTCTTCCTGGTCCTGTTCTGAGCCCTGGGATGCAAAGGCCTGGATGCGGAGCCCCACTGGAGGGTTGGAGAATTTTGGATTTTAGAGAGAATTCTTCCTCAGCCTCCAAGTCAGCACTTTGGCATCAGGCGCTGTCATGAGTGCGGCCCATGGGCTGGGCTGAGAGAGGGCAGAGTGCTGAATCACCTAGACTCTGGTCCCCATGGCAACCCCTCCTCTGCCCTGAGCCAGGTTCTGCTCCTGAGTCCTTCCTTGGCATTTGGCAGTGGGCTGTGTGTGTGTGTGTGTGTGTGTGTGTGTTGGACAGAGATGCCTCCTCCCTCAGTCTGGAGGAATGGATGACAGTGCCCCTTTCCAGCCTGTCTGTCTGCCTGGGATGAGGGCCTGATGTATCTTATCTACCCTTGGAACTGTGATGAGCCCTGCTGGGGCCCAATCAAAGCTCCAGCAAGGGGGCAGACTGCAGACCTTTGAGACATGGCTGGGCAGGAGTTGAATTGTTTGTATGGGGCCAGAGACTGGCAGGTTCAGAACCCACTGAACTTGAGACATGAGTAGGAGAAGCCCAGGGAGAATGTGTGTGGTGAGTGGAAGCTCCCGAGGATAGGGGCCATACCAGCTGTGGGAGTGGGGAGCCGGGAGAAGAGGGAAGGCAGAGACCTGTCCTCCCCTCTGGTTTGGGGATGGTTAGATCTGGTGGAATTGCACTGCAGGAGGAATTGAAGGAAATGCGGGGGGGGTGGGGGGGTGGGGGTGGTGGTGTCATTCTAACCTTTTGTCTTGACCAAGTTGGCACTTCTTTGTGTGTGTGTGTGTGTTGAGAAAACTGATGGGTTTTCCTTTTTTCCTTTTTTTCTTTTTCTTGAGTCGCACTTCTGAGGGGTTAATATCTTCCCCTTTGGATTCAGCTGAAAGTGTGTGTGTGTGTGTGTGTGTAGATAAAGAATGAGAATAGCACAAATGAGGAAAAAGACTCATTCACATTTAACCCCACAATTGAGTTTGCTACCTCGGACAGGGAATGACAGCCCAATTCCTGTCTTGGGAACTTCGGCTAAATCCCCAGGGCTTAAATTAGGGGTTAAGAGCATATTGCTGATGGGTTCTGTCCCATCTCTCTAGGAGTCCGTCACTTTAGAAATCCAAGTGTTTGGACTCCAGCTCACGTGCGACAACCCTGAAGGGGACTTAGGCACTGCCTGGTGGCGGGGGGGGGGGGGGGGGCGTGCGTCTAGGGGGATGGCTGTCCTACCCTTTGTCACCTTTCTGCGCCCCTTCCCCTCATAGGGGGCGGGGCGGGAAGCTGCCCCAGGCGTTTCCTGGCCCGGGGAGGAGGCAACACCTGGAGCTGTCCGGGAGAGCTGATTGGATTAAGGTCCTGACGTTGAAATGCTTGATTGGGGCTGAGGTTATGTGGGGGATTCTGATAACAATGTACATATTTTGCTGGTTCTGCGCAATGAATCTCACCCCACATCCCTTGTTTGGCATCACAGAGGCTTCGCAGAGATAAACCAAGGCACACAGAAAGATAAACCAAGGCACACATCACCTGCCCAGAATCCATCCCCAGTGGGATATCTGCACCCACCCCCATTCAGCTCCCACCCCCCTACCTACCCCAACACCCTTAATGTCGGCCGGCTCCCCGGAGAGCTGGAGCGAGGTGAAGAGAGCTCCCCGTGGGCTGAAGCAGATTGGCCTCCGGGGCTGCTGTGTTCAGGGGCACTGGGAGGAGGAGGCTGCTCTCTGGGGTGGGGGGAGTTCTGGCTTGGATGTCTGAGGAGGAGGTGCAGAGGGAGGTCCCTTTCCTGCAGTGACGGAGGGACAGAATTCCAAGGCTCCCATCACTCTGTTGTTGCATCTTGTTCCCTTCCCTTGGTACCACTGTCCTCCAAGACCATCCGAGAGCTGGGTTGTGAGGATCATCACTTAGTCTTTAGAAAAAAGAAATCCTTAGGACACCAGAAGGCCAGAAGAGGGGGAAGCAGAGAAGTTCAGTCCTCAGTCTGTTTGGCCTGGAGGACTGGGGGCGGGGGGTGGGGGGTGGGGGTGAAGAGAAGTGAGAAGAACTTAAGGCCGGCTACATACTTATTTATTTAGCAAATACAAATGAACCCCACAGTGTGCTGTTCTGCTCCGTGTGGGGATTGTAGGGATGAAAAGTGAGGCAGCGTCTGGTCTCTTAGAGCTCCCACTGTCGTGGAAAAGAGAGACAAGTAAACAGACAAATGCCACAGATAAGCTTGAGTGAGAACATCTGGACAAGGATGTTGAGAGGCAGATCCTTCATTCCCGTGGTATCCGCCCCTCTCCTCCAGAACCATGAAGACGACTGGGTGATTCTTTCCAGAAGAGTAGGTCAGGTCTGGCCCTGAAGTTGACTAAGGAAAAGGATGGAAGAGGAGGTGACATATATAAGATATTACCAGTTCCCTGGCTTTAGGGGGAAGAGAAATGTCCCTTGGACAGTTGAACCCAGTGACTGGGTGCTGCCCTAGCCTGATGGGAGGAGGGACCCAGAGGGAACTCTCGGACAAGATCAAGGCTACTCAACTCTCCCATTTCCATCTCCTAAGCCCTTGTATTTTAGGGGCAAATTGTGGTCTGGGTATGCTTAGAATGTTAGAGGGAGTCAGAGGAAAAGAATCCCAGTCTGCCCTCCGGGAGCTCACTATCTGATGGGGAAGCAGCAAGTGACATGCACAGGTACATGCTCAGAAACAAGATAAGTAGGAAAATCAGGAGCTCTGGTATGTGGGGAAGGGTCTTGGAGTCCTGGGGAGGTCAGAGTCAGGTGGGAGTCATCAGAGAAGTCCCGATTGGGGAGGGGGGTGGTTTTGAAGTTATACTCTTGAGCACAGGTCACCATGAACATCCATATTTGAACTGGGAAAGAATGTAAGGATGGAGACACTCAGTCGTATCTGTCTGAGGAGCACCCTTCTTCCCCACACACTAAATTTAGTTCATTTCATTAGTGTGTCCTGAGTCTTTGAATATATCCCGGGAATTGTGCTAGGGGTTGAGTGTATGAGTGAGGTGGAGAGACAGAAACGAAAACAAATTAAAATTCAGTACCAGAAATGCTATAACAGAGGTTAGGTGAGTTCCTGGCATTGTAGGAGCATGGCTGAGGGGTCATGGTAGACAGTAGGACCTGGAGTGATTGTATTCCACTGTTTAGATAGACCCTGTTTTGGTCAGAGCAGCTTGATGTCAAATTTTTGAGCATTTACTCAAAATACCCAGCTAGAGCCCATGCCTAGCTGCAAGGACAGAGGTTGGATGCATATGGCTTGGTCCTTGGGACTGTAGGGGAGAGCTCTGGGAGCTAATGGCTATGCTGGGTGCATGAGTAGGCACTTCCAAAGCTTTGCTGACCTGGAGCACTGGTCAGATTGTGCCAGCCAACTTGAGAACTATTGAGCCACTCTCCTTTCCTTAGATCTTGAGGCAGGCCAAGAAAAAGAAAAGTATCATGCTATAATAGTCATCATTATAGATTGTTTGCTATGTGCTAGGCACTCTACTATGTGCTTTATATGCATCATTTCGTTTAATCTTCATAAGGGTTAACCCTATAAGAAGAAGTATTGTTAGGATTCTGGTTTTATATATATATATTTTTTTGATTTTATTTATTTGACAGAGACACAGCAAGAGAAGGAACACAAGCAGGGGGAGCGGGAGAGGGAGAAGCAGGCTTCCCACTGAGCAGGGAGCCCAATGCGGGGCTCGATCCCAGGACTCTGGGATCATGACCTGAGCCCAAGGCACACGATTAACGACTGAGCCACCCAGGATTCTGGTTTTATAGATAAGGAAGCAGACCCAGAAAGGTGGTTATTTAAGATTGAGCAACAGGTAAGTTGTAGAGCTAGCATTTAAACCTGTTTTTGTTTGCCATCGAAGCCCATGCACCTCTCCTATATATTATAGGAGAGGAAAAATAAAAACCTGGGATGTTTTATCCAGTGG